CGCGCGTTGACAACGTGCTTTTCATTAGCATCGCGAAATCGCTAGACTGTTTAAACGTCGCTGGATCTTGTATGTACTCTTGTGTGCAAAGCTCACTATACTAAAAATAAATAAACGAATTTTATTAATAATTTTTAAATACACGAAACGAGTAATCGACACGATAATTAATGTAAAAGCTTATAATGTTGACAAGTACATTTTTAAGCAATATGATATTATTATAGCTATTTTCTAATAAAGTATAATAATTTTATTTAATAATACTATTATTAAATAAAATGATAGTGAAAAAAAATATAAAGTATTTAAAGTAATAATTTCAATTAATAATGCTATTATCAATGGTGCTAATAATGTTATTAATACGTGCTTCAAGATTATTATGACAGAAAGTTTTGTTGCGCGGTGTGTTCCGAGCCGCGAGAGAGTGAGCAGAGAACTTTGGCGTTTGAGTCGATCGCCGGTCTCTCGCTGTTATTCAGTCGTTACTGGACCGTGGTGAGCACCAGGCATCAGGTGGGCGTAGGTAGTACCTACGCACTCTCGGGAGAACCCGGAGGCACCTGCGTGCCGCCCACGAGGCAGCCAAGGCACTTCGGGCAAAAGCGTCCCGGACAGCCCGTTTGCCCATTCGATTCGATTAGCCGGCGAAGCGATGAAGATCTTAATGTTATTCGCCGCGTAATCGCCCATCTGAAATCTCCGCTTCTCGGCGGTAGATAGATAAATGGGAAAACGTACGGCGCGCGCAGATAATGAAGCTTCCGTATACCACTGTGACAGATGGCCGTAGTAGATGCCAACTGCCATTTTTCGTTTGTCCTTCCGAGAGAGACTCTTGCAGGCCATGCGATTCAAATGCGATCGTCGTGAAGCACACTCCGGGATATTATTATACAACGATGAATACTTTGACGTGTATTTTTCGGCGCGTTTATTTATTTTTACAACTTTAAATATCTCTATATATGAATATCTCACGTCCACTTCTGAATTGAGAGGAAAAGTGTTCCGCAGGCTTGATCAATGTGTGAAAAAAGAACGATCGTCGCGTCGATAAATCCAACTTTCGAAATACATGCGTATACCCATAATGACTGCATTGCAGGAAGTGATGTTAAAGAGATTAAACTTTGCGTGTGGCTTTCGCGATTTTAGACGAATTGCCGCCGGCTTTTGGTCTTTTTAGGTTCTTCTGTGTGACTATTATTGCCGAGAACGCCTTTCCTATCAAATTTGATGAATGTGCGCGCGTGATCGGCTACTTAAGAGAAAAAAGCTTAGATTTCTCCTCTTAATGAAGTTCCGCAGCAAAATAAACATCATTGAGAGACTTATGTACTTTTCTAATTTCGCACTTTCCCATTTCTATCGATCGTTTCGACAAAATTCCGCCTCACAAATCCCCTTCACAAAACTAATAACGACGATTCTTTTACATCCCACCAAGTATTGTCCTACGCTTGTATTTACATATTAGAGACTTAAAGGCTTAAAAATTTTTTATTGTCTACTAAAATAAATTTTATTATATTTTTCTATACCTATCTTAATTATTTTATAAATATTTTTTACTTATATATGAAGAATTTTTTAATATGCAGCATATTTTAGAAAATATAGAAAGCCCTAAAGGCCACTTAATATAAAATTATACCTATAGCTATATATAAGACATAATCGTTCCAAGAATCATCTTTCTAACGATTCAGCACCTCCACGTTATTATGATAAATCGTGAATCATAGCCTTTGTGATAGCTTTTGTAAATCACAGCTAGATATTTTAAGGCATTTAATCGTATTATCGCTTTATTATCTGTGCGTTACGTAAAGCTAAGAATCTCTATATAAAAAAACAAAAAGAGCGACTTGCTGTCTCATGGACGTGGGCTAAAAGTCGCCGACAAAAAATCTCCCGATTACGCCATTTCCCGAAACCCGTAAGTGTTTGAGTATCCTCGCGCCCGCGAGCACTCATATCGTCCATTAAAAAAAGTTTAAAGTGTTCCCTATCAATATGCGCCTTGTATTCCACACGCAATCCCTCGCCCATCTGCGATTATTTATTGAATAACTAATCGCATAAATTTAATCGCATCGAGACGGCAGTACGCGTTATTAGCGCTTCATGTATGTACATATACCACCACGCGCGCGTTACATTCGTTCCTTACCGCAGCCGATGCATATGACACAACAGGAGAGAGGAAGAGAGACGTAGCGTGACAAATCAATTCAGACAATATTATGGCTAGTATATCCGCTTCTAAATATATACATACGTTTCTCATATTTGCATAATAAATATCTGCACGATTATCAGTAGTCAAAACACACACACACATACATATACATGTAAAAATATACATTCACGTATTGAAGAAAAATGAGATTATTCGGTGCCAAACTTATCACATTCCGAGATTTTCACTCCATCAAACAAATATTTACAGACTCGGAATCACAGCCGCAATTTTCGAATTACCGCTAGATACGATTTCACTGATAGAATGTGATAAGATTATTAGTACATATATATATACCTATATACTAATAATCTTATCACATTCTATCAGTGAAATCGTATCTAGTGGTAATTCGAAAATTGCGGCTGTGATTCCGAGTCTGTAAATATTTGTTTGATGGAGTGAAAATCTCGGAATGTGATAAGTTTGGCACCGATTAATCTCATTTTCCTTCAATATACGTGAATGTATATTTTTCGGAGACGCAAATGACATGCCTGCGATGCATATTCGATTTTTTTTATCGTAGCACGTACGTTTTACGATATATTTTATTGCGCGTCCTTCGACGAAGGACACAAGAATATCTTTTTTTATATCTCATTTTTATACAAAATGTAACACGTCCCCAAGAGACGGGACGTTCTTGAGCCACTCTTTCTTGCCGGGAATTAAGATTTGCTTTCGCGTTCGTCACGTAAATAATTCTCCTTACGGCGAGATGCATGCCGCGCGTAAGTACGTGTGCGTGAGCGGCGGCGCGTTCTATTTATACGCAATCCGCGTGTACGCCAGCAATAAAATCGTGGCGCAAATTCGGATGAGGTAAGGTCATCAGCGTGAGAGCGTGGGAGTACTTTCACCGCGACGTAAACGTTATTACGGCCAAAGCGAAAAACGCGAAACATAATACCGAAGGCGTGCGCTGGCCTCGCTAAGAGAGGCGCCCGTTAAAATTCCACACGTTGACAAATCGCGGTGTCTCCCCTCTTCTGGGTGCTCGGGGAGTAACGACAAAGCGCGCGATACCCGGTCTATCGGCGTTAATCACGATCGAACAGCTGGACCGGTACCGCGGCGTATTATCGCTTGCAGTCTGCAGGCGTCCGATTTTTTCCGCAAGATCTCGTTTCTGCACGCTATTCGCACGTTAAATCCTCTGTCTCCACCTGGACTTTACGATCCGTGTCTATTTGTTACGTAATATTTATAGTTGATATAAAATTTGCCATAAAATTGTTATGCTCGCGGCTCGCAAAGGCTTGCAATTGAATTCCTGATGTCAAAAAATTACGAATATTGCCAAAAGTATAAATATTCCACGACGCACCCGCTCGTGTAATCTATAAATACCTTTTCTCTTGAAGTAAAGTAAAAAGTGAGACGTGAGTTTAAATATATGACTTTTATGAGACACCAAAATTTAACGATCCCCGGTTCATTAATAATGTAAGATAATCACCAATTAGCATTAATAAGACTTTATGTATGACGGTAAAACTATTGCGTGAAAATGTCACATAAAATATCGTGAAGATTCATCACTGACAGTTAGCAAATATTTTAATAATTATGATAAACATCAATAATAATTCCAACTAATACAGTCGAACCTCTATAACTCGAAAACCGACTCAAAAAACTTCGAATTTTGTACTTTAAAACCGATTATAAATTATAAACTCTCGTACAAATTAGCTTCCGTAATTTTCATATGTTAACTCTTTTACTCAACTTCGATAAAGCGAAACCTTTGTAACTTGAAGATTTTTATAGCTGGTCCCTTGAGATTCGAGTTATCGAGGTTCGACTGTACTATTGCGTCAAATGATTCATCTTCAAACATTCGGATATACATTCCATACGTACATTCTACTTCGATTTCTTAAGCAAAAATTTTCTCGCACGAAAGATTTTCTCGCTTATCCCAAGCCGAGACAATTCTCGCCCTTTTCCGAGACGCGATCGAAATCTCTTCGAATTGACGAAAAGAGAAGGACTCCTGTTGACCAGAGAAAATACGTACGAGCGCTCTCGCGGCTTTTATGCTAATACCTATAAACTCCGACCCAATCGTCGCTGTTATTATCGAGGCTACTACGGCCGATCATAAATCTCCCGCACGACGGCTGGACGTTTCAAAAATGGCTCCTTCCGAGATTCGCGCGCACCCGGACTCTCGAGGGGAGACGTGTGTTCATGCTGATGCACACGTATACACACACATACACACAGGTGCACGCACATACCGCTGGTATACACCATTGTTGGTACTCTCGAGCAGAGCCGTCTCGCCATATGCGGCAAGGCCGCCCGTCCGTGTGGTACTGGACCTCATAACGGGCTCCGCATATTCTACCGCCGTTATCGCGGAAAAAACCCGGAAAATACGGCCGATTTTCGCGATCATTCTCTTCGATCCCTCACACGCAAATACCTAAATGTTCTATTTACGATGAAAATATCCTGTTTTACAGTGTCATTACGGATAAATTATTTCTAACAAACACATAAGTATTTCTAAAAAAAAAAACACATAAGTATGAATTGTATGGAATTATATAGAATATATAGAAACAGAGAAATAATCTGCGCCAGGAAAATATGATTCAGTAACGATACTTTATTAAACCTATTATGTCTAGTTTTCTGTTACGACAGTGTAGGTATTATCGTGAGATTCCATAGATGGACTGAAAGAAAATGAGACGTAAAAGGAGAGAAAATTAAAATAGACAACACGATGATGTTCTTGTTAAGGCCTTTTATTAATCTTTTTATATAGTTTTTGGTCAATTTACAACTGTTCGTAGATAAAATAATGTAACATAGGCAACGTTGCATATAATAATAGCAATTAATCTTTATTATTCTCTTGATGATAATAATCATAATAATAATAGTAATCGTCGGTCGTCATCATAGCAATAGCTGCAATAATAGTATCAATATTATTGGGATAATCATCGATTATTGCTTAATCGTTAACGCACGGCCGTGAAATCGCTGGGGTTACAAAAGCTTAGGACTAAGGATTAGCCGTCCGGCGCCTAAGATATTGCGCGCTGTAACGAGAAAACGAGTAAAATATTCCTCTTATCACCAGATCGCTCTGGTGCACTGTGTTACGATACTATGACTTAAGAAAAGCGAAACTCAGCCGAGCGCGAAATTTTCGCGTAAACGCAGGGATCGTTTTGAATGGATCGTCTCGGATCGATCGGACATATCGATGCGCGAGTACTTGAGATTTCATTGCTCGCTGCATCGTGTGGCGGTTCTTCAATACATGAATAAATATATATGTATTTTTCCAATATATAGACAAATATAGTTTCCTTTTATTTGTTATTCCACATATGTATTCGCGTTCTATCTCAGGATTGGAAAATACGTAGATGACGGTAATATCGATTGACTTGAAATCTAAGGAATTGAGGCTTTGAGGAAATGCGAATTAAGAAAAGTGTGACTTTCTTGCGGGCAAAATACGACGGAAATATCTTACGTTTACGCGCGCGCATGCGATACGAATCTCTCCAGTGTTCGGCTATCTCTCGCTGATTTTCGCTGAGAGTGGTGCTCGGTAATTCAGTATCTCTCGCGCATACTTAACCCTTCAATGACGGATACTCAATTCTCCGTGAAAACGCGAAGAATTTTCATATGCGATATGTGTACGCCACATAACATCGACATGCTTGCATTATTATTTAAGCGACGTTTTGACTCTCGTAATACAGTTTCCAAAGAATTATTTCCGCTAGCGTTCTACGTATCGAGAAGTCTCAAATATAAAAATACGTATCTTATTGTTTTTCTTTTTAGCGTAAACTAACGAGACGCAACAAATAACCCGCGTTAATCGCGGCGATGATTATCGAAGGGTTAAGTCAGCTTAACTTAGCAGAACGTATTTTACACTTAGAAAACGAAGATATGCTTTTAACAACGCATTCATTATATATATTTACAGAAGATGGAACGCCTTGTCCGCGCAGCACCGAACTCCAGTCGCAGGTAAGCCCGCCGTGTTTTCCTCGACCAACCGTTATGTGTGTATGCGTGCACATTCACCGGACATCGTCGCGAGCCCTTTCGAAGCGAACTAAGTGGGTACACACAATGGCCGTCTACAGACTAGAGATCAATTTAATAATTATAAGCCCGGAGGGGGAAGGGGGGGAAGGCGAGGGGTAAAAGATTCGTCGCCGAAAAATTGTTCGCGAAGATATTTACAGGCAGAATGTTAGTTCGCGCGCATACCCGTGCAGAAGACACGTCGTTTATGTATATACGCGTAAAGAGACGTACGTATAGGAAATTGCTCGAATTCCGAATAAGGCAAGACGGCCTTCGATTCCGTCGCTGGCTATAATCCCCGCTGTGTATCGGGATGTTCGCCTCGGGATTCTCACGTATTTCCTGACCGACGGTAAAACGTACATCTACAGCAGACGATTAAAGAAGACTTTCCTGAAAGCTCCGGCGGAAACGAACGGAGAAAAGACCGACATTTACCGTCCGAATATCGGAAACGCTCCTACTCGCGGCTGTCGTATGTGACCTACACGTCTACCCCTACACGTCGTGATACTAAAAAATATCCCTCTTCCATGCTATTCGTCGACAAAATAAACCTTTTTCTCTCCGCCTTAATCCGTTTACTAAGACACTTGGTAAAAAACTTGGCGCTACGCTTGCGTTTGGTATAAAAAACAGTTAAACACTGGAATGGCATTTGTCCGACAACACACGTCGCTATCTACACAATGCAGTCTGCTCTATATTGGGTGAACGGGGAGGGAGGGGCTGGGAGGGGGAGGGGTTCGTTTGATTTTTCATTCGACGAATCACTCATTCGATCTCTTCAATGTCTAATCAATTCCTTCTTTATCTTTCTCTATCTGTCTCGTTCTCTTCCATTCTTTCTCTCTCCTTCGAGCGAGGTCGTTAACGTGTAATAAATCATCTTTGATAAATATATCCGATAAACTATATAACTCTTTAAATAAAAATTATTAGGCGTTATTGATTGCGAACGATAAAAACAATTGAGCGTGCAATTGCTACGGTCTTTTCGACGATCTTTCAACTTTTCCGATCACTTGATCTTGGAAATCGGCATCGTCAATCGATCGTATCTGTTCTTGAAGTATCTTGACTCGTTATGTTAAAGATAGATTCAAAAAAATCATCAGGATTTTCGATAATTTATATTCACAATAATTGCTTAACAATGCAGTAAAGAATTTCAGTTTTTAAAATATTTTACATGATAATTTAAGGATTATTGTTTTAAGGCCAATAATCGATAAGCATACCTACGGGATATGCAATGAAATGACTGGAAGCGAATCAATTGGGATGTCATTAACGCAAGACTCGCCATAGCTAATTGTCCACTTTTGATTCCGCATTGATCAACTGAAAACTCGTTTACGGAACAAATTTCCTACTCATTCGACTCTCTTTCTCCATCTCTCTTTTGCTCACTTCATTGTCTATCGTAAACGTCGTTTCATTCTTCAGCACCATCTAAGCACCACCCCGATACGTGACTACTAAGAACTACTAACTGATTGACCCCGTACCGTTAAGGCCCGTTAAGTTACTCTTCAGTCGGACGTCTTCGATCTACAACGATAGTCGTTGAAGGTGCAGGCAAAGAGCAAAAATAGAAAGCAACATTCTAAGCATCAAACTATTTGCGATCACGATAACTCGAGCGTAAAACACAAACATTGAAATGTTAGAAAGGCATTTAATGTTATTAAAAATTTTCGAAATTTAAACTTCGAAATATCGAAACTTGTAGAAGCTTAAATTTCAAATTTTTGGAATTTCTCAAAACGGTTGATTTTAATAAATTTAGATCTTTGACTCAGAATCTCATGAGATTTTACTTGTTAAGTTTAGAAAAATAATTAAAAAGTAATTTTAAAAATAATCTCGTTTCTGTATAACATGTATAAAGAAATTTCATCTTTTCTGAAAGATAATCTTAAAACATATTCTTTCAATATTAAAAACAAAAAAAGTAAAGTGCTAATCGTAGTTAATACTTAAAATTCTTAAATCTTAAAATTCATTAACTTAAAGTTTATTTTAATATTCTATAACATATATTACTGACCGAAGACATTTTATAGTATGCTGTAAAAATAAAACATTTATGTAAAAATGATCGACTTGCAATGAAATTCATTCCTCATTATACACTTTCGGTTTCACTTTTACTTCTAAAAATTTCTACGCTATAGATCTATAAATCCGTCAAATACCTTTTCATTTAATTATCCAAAACATGTAAAACGTATTCCTACCCTTATTGATCAAGACGTCCGACCTTAGCTATCGAATCAAGAATCAAGCACGGCGAGAAGCGCAATTACTTACGCGCGCGCCTGGTTGCCCACATTGACGTCAGCACCTACTCGATCAGTCTAACTTAGCCTAACACGCGAAGGCTACCTGGTGTATCTCGATCCTCGTGGCTAAAGGAGAGGAACCACCCTCAAACGCTGTCCGACGCCACGGACATCGGTCTCTTGTAGGAGAGAGCACGAGGTACCGGTATCCTCGAGCATCCTTCCTGGGGCTTCGGGTCCTTTCTGGGAGTGACCGAAACCTGAACGTCCTGCGGCACTGTCATCGCCCCGTTACTATCCACCCACACTTTGGCAAAGTCCATATCCGCGGCACCGTCGGTCGTGGTGGTCTGGTAGTCTCTCAGGAGGCCCTGCAGCTTCTGCACCATCTGGCGCTCGTCCTTCAGGTCGCCCAATTTCTGCAGAATCTGGTCGAGCAAGGGATTCGTCGCTTTGGTGGGCGACGATTGGAGGGAAGCGGTGCCCATGGTGGTTCTGATCCTCCTGCCGTTTCTGTCATATTGCATACCAAAGTTCGGGCTTGGCCGGGATTGCAGACTCTGTCTGCCCGGACTCTTCCGTGAGAAGCTCGGCGTTGTGGCGCACGTGGCCGGCGTGGATCTCGGATCCAAGAAGGTGTCCGTCTGAATGCTGGCCCGCCGCCTGGTCTGTCGGCCGTTCCATGTGGCGCTACTACCGACTACTGGCGCTTTGGAGGACTTGGGTGAGGCTATCGGCGATAACACCTTGCTGAGACTTCCGGTCGGCGTTGACTTTCGTAGCGTTCCATAACTTCCGTTGCAGGCCTTGTTGCGAATCGAACCTCCTCGGTTCAGTGGGCTACCTTCCGGACTGGAATTATCTTTAGGCGTCTTGCTGCCGGACGACGCTTTGGATAAGTTACTGTTCTCTCGCGCGATGGAACCGGCGCGGGGAGTCCTGTCGCCTGTCGACGAGGACGCCCCGCTCCTGGACGGGGACGAGACTCGTAAAGGACTCATCAGCCTATCTTTCCGGACTACCTTCCGCAATCCGGTCTCGATACTGTCAGTCTCCACACCAGATTTTTCCTCGGGTTCCGCTTTTGGAGGTTGCTCTGAAACAAGAAAAGAGCAGACGCGTGTTTACGCTGGAAATCCGAAACTTACTCGGATTATATTTTCTGACAAGTTGATGGTTTTATTATTCTTACGCAACATAAATCTTTCATAATATTATTATTCTCATATTATTATTGCTATCATGAATTTATTACTAATTATAATTGTAACGCCTACTAAAATTAATGAGCTCATTAATTATTGTACTTAATTAATGTTACGATTAAAATTAACCGTAACATCTAAATAATGTCTCTGTTCCTGCCATTTAGAAACTAGAAACCACAAACCACGAATTACATAAGCGAAATGTTACACAATTTGGTAATTAGCATTCCAATCTCGTCGTTTCCGTGCAGCAATCTATTAGCGCGTCATTATAGCGACGTTTTCGATAAGCACGCGCGCAACATCTGGTATCTGGACCGGATCGAATTTTTTTATTATCGCGAGATGACAACTTTCACGAACACGCGCAATTTAGAAGCCGAAAAATCTCAACGATCAATTGATCAATCTCTCTTGTTAACACATTTAACATAGGCAAGGTAAAGGAATAGACCCTGACACAATTGAGAGAATGTTGATCCTCTCGATTTGCATCGACAAGAACACCTGCGACGAAAACAAATATAAAATCCAAGGCAAATGAAATCCTTCATCGGGACTTCTAGAAGTGATTACCATAAATTTTCTACTGCTTTATATAATATGAGCTTGGATTTTTCTACATAATTTTTATGTAATTCGTTATGTAAAATTCTATGCAGATGTCATCGTGTTATGCTCCGCTGACTTCATATAATTTATGTTACATTATATAATAATTATTATTGGTCATATATTTACGTATTTGTGCCATTATTAACTTGTCAATATTGTCTGGACATGAGTTGTATGTAAGATTCTTATTATCAAGTTCTATAAACATATTCTTTATCTTTATCTACCGCTAAAGAAGCAATGGTAAACGAAACTATTATAATTTTTCCCACAAAACTTGCACAATTTATAATTATAAGAAATGGATATGAAATTGAATCCACGCATAGGAAATTGAATTTATTAATTGAAAAAAATGTATACATTTTGATTCGTGTTACTTTGTAAAATTAGAATCGACTTTCGTATTTCTCTCACGAGATGATGTCACCATGTCGCATTTCGTCCCACATTTCATTTTCGCACATTTTGTACGCACCCACGTCTAAACTCCAGAGAAAGTCCATTCTTCGCAGAAGGAGAGAAATTAGATTTTTAAATTTATGTATCGATGCCACGCGCGAGAATGGCAGAATGGAGTAAATTTTGAATTTTCAGAATATGTAAAAATAGAATAATAATAATAATCATAGGACTTTTTTTGTTAATTCCGAAAGAAAGGAACTACCCAAAATACGGTTCGCCGATCACGTCGAGTTTAATCCTCGTTAGTTCAGAAGAGTCGATCAAGATTCTCGATAACGCATTGCATTTTTTTAATCCGGTCAGCAAACGAACGCAAACGCAAAAACATTCGCATAAATATTAACGCGTCCGGTTGGAGATTGTTGAGCTACGGCGGGCATACGTATATTCGCGCGCGAACGTAACTTGTAATTAAAATCCGAGAATCGAAAATCTATTTCGAGATCTCGTCCTAGTAACACGCTGCTGGTCAAACCGGATTCAACCTTCATCGATCTAACGAGTCCTTGGAACTCGTTATTAAAATTACGCAAATGAATTACGAACTGAATTTGTTGAAGAAACCAACGTTGACGTTCTTGCTAAACGCAGTTAATGTTAGGTTCGATATCGTGGTATCCGTATTTGATATCGTATAAGACGTTTATAGCATGCATAAGTGCATAATTTACGAGATTTATGGTTTATAACGAGAAAATTATAGGATTTCCTTAACATAGCCCCTGAATCTTTTATCTATACGAGTGTATCATTGGATCTATAGTTTTATTTTCGCAAAAGAGACTCAGTTCTAAGAACGGACTTATCTTTCATCTGCGAAAAACTCCATTAACAGGATAGCTCAGAAAACATCGAGTTTACGTTTGAAATATTATAACCGTAATATTAAAACAGGTAGTTTTACTAGCAAAACAAAACGTAGCGAGAGAAATTAGCCGTTGTATTTTTATCTTATCAAGGAACTACCGCAAAGGTAACTACCGTTACGTTGAGTATTGTCAGATGAGGACGACACTCAGAAACGTTGAAACGAATTCCAGTGAAGTCGTGAAATTTTTTTTTGCTGCCCTAAAAAATTGCGCATCGTTACCAAATGCCATTCTCAACAATACTTCATATACGACGTGACGAATGAGCATTCTTTAAAATCACAACTTGTAAGAGTTTCTTATAACTTTCAATCTCCTTAATTATTTTAATTTTGATACGTTAAACACGATTACGACATCTACAACGCGTATTACTATCGAAACATATTATACATATATATACACAATTAGAGGATAATAATTGGACATTTTCCAAGACAAGCCGTCAACAATCAATTTAATCCTTTTGAGCCTCCGAAAAAGATTTCGTAGCTACACGGTCTTAATAAACTTTCACGGTTGTCTCGCCTGCCTGTCTTAATCGTCGCGCAATTTTGTTTTTACTCTCGATGCCAAGGAGAAGTTCTCTCTCGCCCGAGTGAACGCGGATCTCCTTCGAAACCGAAGCGAAACGCTTCGGTATCGCGAACGTGCTGACGCGCATCGCGGAGCACATTGCGTGCATATCTCATTGCCGTTGAAACAAATCAAGTGCCTCGATGCACATTTTCGAAACGTACGCGCGCTCTATCGCCGTCGCATAAATTAGAGATATCGATGTAAATGAACGAGTCATCGGAGGTCGCCTCCGGCGGCTTCGCGTAAATCTCAATAAAATCCCGCGGGGATGACTGATCCGCACGGTCATTTGGACTTAGCGAACCCACGGACCCGAGCTCGGTAAACTGCGAACATTTACATACATTTACACATCATATATCCTCGTAAACACATGTTTTTGAGTAATAGCGCAATAAATTTCAGGAAAAGTGGAATTAAGATTCTATCTAAAATTAATAAGAAAAATAAGAATAACTAAACCCGTATGCAAGTTTGATAGAAGAAGCAGGACAGCGAAAGTTAAAGATAATATTTATGTATAAGTATCTCTTAAAATTTTTTTTTATTTTTATTTTAATACGACATTTGTTGCCGAGAACGCCTTCGGATTGTCCTTTCATTTCTCGCGAAATGAAACGCGAAAGTTCATCTCGACCGTGTATCGAGAATTGTATAGGACGATGTAACACTAGAGGCCAATTTGAATTTTAAAATAAATTATATTCTGCAAAAGAGTATTTGTACACTGCAAATCCAAGTGTGTAAATCTGTAGTCACATTTTACGCATTTATACGCGTGTTATATTTTTACACATTTTATCTGTGTTTTACACAGTTAAATGCATATTTTTTACGCTTACACATATTATTGTAAAA